CTTGAAACTTGATCTGAGATACAGGAAAAATAAAGCAATTTCTCTCAGTTTTCTGAATTCAGAAGTCCCTGAATAACTCAGGAAACCACAAAATTAGTTTTAAAAAAAGCAAAAAGAAATCACATGGGAAAGTAATTTTGCCCAAAGGTTTGCAAATAAAGAAACACAAACAATTTGTTTTAGTTTCTGTAACCTCAAAATGAAATTCTTTCATATTTTCACATCAAAATATTCAGATAATTCTCCCTCAGCTAGCACAGAAGCAATTTTTTTCCATTTTTCTATGTTACAATCTACACAATAAAAAATGGTTGAAAAAAAAAACCAGAAAAATTTAGTCTTAGGTCTTTAACATAAAACACACAAGAATTGGGAAACATCTGAAAAATAGATTGATTTTAGCAGTGTCCACCCGCATATTTGGCACAGCACAACAAAATAGAGCTTTACTTACTGTCAGGAAAATAATAAAAAGCACTCTAGAAACACTGTCAAAACCCAGTTCTCTTTTTGTCTAGGTTACGATTACAACTTCTTTATTGCTGCTTCTTCATTTATTCTTTAAATGGGTGCCTACTCCAGCAGCTCTTACACAGGCTGGTTTCTGGAAAGGGGTGTAGCCAGACCAAGCTGTACATGATGTTTTTTTTCTGTGTCTCTTTCTCCCTAAGCCAATTATTCTGCAAGGAAATGACTGCTCCGTGGTTGGTTGGGACTAAAACAAATTCTGTGTTTGTTCAATTGGCCTTTCAACTACAGGGATAAGGGGGAAAATGGTAAACAAGGAAAATGGAACTAGTTCTTCAAAAATACGAGACCCAGAGGGAGGCAGGAACAAGAAAGAGTAAAGACAGTAATTAACCAAACAAAGCAGTTAAATTTGTATGATAAATCTGTAACTATTTTCTTTTCAAGACTGATGAATAAACAGAATTGCCAGTTAGTTGTGTATTTAACTAATTCAGACTACATTAGCAGAATATTCTGGAGCTGATTTTTTTTCCTAATAAAGCCAAGCAATCCATAATATGCCTTGGAGAAACTCGTAGGATAGACAAATGAAGAATTTTTAACAAGTTTATTTCTCCCACCCTCATCACAGTGGATGCAGGATTTCATAATATATAAGAACAAAACAAGTCAGTGTATTGCCAAGGTCTATAAAACACAGAAAAAGATTCAGATAAATTTTTGTGCATGAAGACTAGAACAAACTGAAACATGCTCAATTCATAGACCATAGTCTGTCTCTCTTTGCTCTGTAAAGAGTTGCAAACTTTTTCTGACCTGCCACAGTAAATGGCAAAACAGGAAACCAAAGTCCATGAATTGGGAAATCTCAAATATTTGACATGGCTCCCAATCCACAGATGTTAATAATCATAAAGCTGAGAAACTTTCTGGAATAAAGCAGATAATTTAAACAACAACATCTACTACAGCCATGATACTATTGTGTGTGTGTGTGTGTGTGTGTGTGTGTGTGTGTGTGATGTGTGTGTGTATATATAAATTTATATATATAAATATAAATCTATATATAAATTTATATATATAAATATAAATCTATATATAAATTTATATATATATAAATTTCATATATATATATGAAATTTCTCTCCTTGGCAATTACTTCTGTTTTTAAAAATAGTCAACAGTGAAATGCCACTTTTTTTACACTGAAAATTGGCACAAACACAGTTAATAAAGGTGTTCTAAAGTTCTCATGGGTTGTGGGAAGGTAAGTCATAAACACTCTTAACATTTTGTATTAGTAATACAACAAAATTCAAAGTTACTTTTAAACCAACTGGAATACAGTTAAGATTTTTATGAATTTTTTATCATTGTTTGTTATCATTGTTTTAGACCCTTTGTACTTTATTTTAGGAATTATTTTCCTTCTGCTACTCTTATAATTGTGTTAAAAATCACAGCTATATTAATGATAATTATTTAGATTAAATATATATACATTACTTAAATTTCTTACCATTGTTTCCTGTGTATGCTTTCTCTTCCTTTTTCTTGACCTGTTGCCTTTCATTTATTTTCATTTTGGGGAGGCCATTTTCCTTATGTAATGGGACAATTTCCCCACAAATGGTGACCTAATATACTGAAGTGCCCAGCCTCCAGCTAGAAGGGCATGGAAATGGTGGGTAAAATATATCTCCAAATTGAATTTCCAATATATAGTCAAATTCAATAAAGGAAGAAAAAAAGATAAAGAATGTAAACAACAATGGAAGAAACCAAAAAAGACAGAAAGACATGTTTTCAGGTATTAAAACTGAAAAGGAATTTAAAGTTTCCCCTAAGCTGTGAGTGTCATTTCATACACTCCAGCAGTTCAAGGATATACTGAACTGAAAACCAGGCCTCAGGTATTTTAATGACCCTCTGACCTGAAATTGCTCCTGGAAAGGTTGGAAAGCTGGAGTTCATATTCCTGCAGGAATCCAGAGGGTTTATAGGACTTTCCAGTACTTATAAAAACAAACAAAAAACTAGGAAAATTTCACCTAGAATCTCAGGGAAGAGTATAGCTGTATTCTCTGCCCAAATTCTCACAGAGAGAGAGAGAGAGAGAGAGAGGGCGCGCGAGAGAAAGATCGCCCATAGAAAATGAAATCCCAAAGCACATAGAGCCTCTGTCAGGTAAAAGAGACAGGAGAGGAATCTGAATTTATTCTCCTAGCATAATAACATGTCCAGAGATATATCATAACAGTTAGTGTATATACTCTGGAGCCAAATTTGTATTCAAATTCTGGCTCTACCATGTACCAGCTGTGTGACCTTGCCCAATCCATTTAACTCTTACCTCCTCAGGTTTTTTTTTACCTCCCAAAAGTGGAGAAATAACAGTATTAACATACATGCTTATTACAGAGATTAAATTCATCTATGTAAGTAAAGTACATAGAACAATGAGGAAAAATTGTAAAAGTTCAAAAAATGTTACTTACTGTTGATACTTCCCCTCCTCCTCTTCCTCCCTCCTCCTCTTCCTCTTACTATCCTGGATTGTCACAGATAAAACACACAAAAAAATCCATAAAGATACATCCAAATTTCAGAACACAAAGAAACAGAATTAAAAGAAATATTCTTCCCAGAATATAAACTCATAATCAAAAGCCTATCATGAAAACAAATCAGCAGACCAAACAAATGAGACTATTAGAAACTAAGGAGGAAATTACCTCTTCCAAATGTGACTCATACAAAATTCTAAGTAGTAGTATTTTTAAGATCTTCTCCTTTTTTAATAATTATGTGTGTTTCTTTGGAGAACTTTGCTGATTATTGCACTTGGATTCAATTATTCTGTAGTCTATTTTTCTCATCTGGCCAATAGCTTTTTTCCCATTTGTGACTCAAAGAAGTCTAGATTCATCAGCATGGTGGTTGGACTCTGTTGGCAATTGATTAGGTCAGTGATACTTTTCGTTTCTTCTTTTTCCTTTTGTTTTTTCTGACAAGCTAACCTCTTTTTTTTCTTCTCTTTCATTTCCCTCTGTAAGAGATACAGGATTCCTCAGAAACAAAGGTCCTCTTCACTTCAATTACTACCACAGCCTGGAGATGGTTTTGGCTGAGTAGCCAAGGTTCTTGGTAAGACATTTTTCTTTCTGTGTGACTCCCCCTGGGCTGTTTGCAAGTGAAAAAATAAACAGAACAACAAAATGAAACCATATGGTAGAATGATCATTAGGCTGAGCATTTTCTTCCTTGACTAACTTCTCTGTTCTATTCAGTGATATAACAGGCTTTCCCTTAGTTGGATCATGATTTCATAACTCCCCTAGCCAAGGTGGAAGACAATAATATGATAGGCTTTCAAATTTCTCTTCACTTTCCACCTTTCCCAATCTAATCACAGATTGGAGGGGTATGTGTTATTATTTGGGGATTATAGTAAGAGCCTGGGACCTTTCTTAGTTCCATTTTAGCTGTATATTTCTGCCATCATTTTTTGTTTATGGAAATGGACACTTCACTTGGCATTATTGCCAACAGTTTCTAATTCCTTCCTCTCTGAGTAAATTTCTGGAAAACTAGGGATAGAATGCATCGGTACAACTCCACACAATGACTCAGACATTCTAGGAACATATTTGAACTGATTATATAGATAACTGTTGTAATGGTTAATAATGAGTGTCAACTTTATTGGATTGAAAGATAAAAATATTGATCCTGGGTATGTCTGTAAGGATGTTGCCAAAGGAGATTAACATTTGAGTCAGTGGGCTGGGAAGGGCAGACCCACCCTTCATCGGGGTGGGTACCATCTAATCAGCTGCCAGCTCAGCCAGAATAAAAAGCAGGCAGAAAAACATAAAAAGACTAGACTGGCTTAGCCTCACAGCCTACATCTTTCTCCTGTGCTAGATGCTTCCTAAAATCAAACATGGGACTCCAAGTTCTTTAGCTCTGGGACTTGGACTGGCTTCTTTGCACCTCAGCTTGCAGACAGCCTATTGTGGGACCTTGTGATATGTGAGTAATACTTTTTAATAAACTCCTACACACACACACACACACACACACACACACACACACACACACACACACGTATACCTCCTATTAGTTCTGTCCGTCTAGAGAACCCTGCCAAAGATATATATGCAACATTCTTAGTTGCAGCATTGTTTAAAACAGGAAAACTGAGAAACAACCTATATATCTTTCAATTTATTCTCAACCATAAAGTTTTGGTACATCCAAAGATGGAAATACTACATATACATTATAAAACAAACAAACAAAAAAACTGGCTTCAACTGACATAGGTATATAATAGACTAGGAAAGTGTGATGTTCATAGTATGATGTTAAGTAAGATCATTATATAATCATAGATATATTATTCTGCATGCATATGATAGAAAATGTATTAGCTAAGCAAGAGGATTTTTCAGTTTAGATTGTATAAATATAATTTTTATAGAAAAACATATTAAAAATTATTTTTAAAATTAATTCTCCGCTTTGACAATTTTTAAGTGTAGAATTCAGTGACACTAATTGCATTCATAAAATTGTGCAACCAGCACCAATGTCTAGTTCTCAAATTTTTTATAAACCCAGAGAGGAATTTTGTAACCACTAAGTTATAACTCCCACTATCTCCTTCCCCAAGCTGCTAGTAATCTTTAATTTCTTTCTGTCTCAGTGAATGTGCCTAATTTAGTAATAGATGCTCCATATGAGTGTAAGCATACAATATTTTCCCTCTGCATCTGATTTATTTCAAGCAAATTTTGTTCTATAAGTTTGCCACAAAAAAAAATTAAATGGATTGAGACACTGAGAAGTTATGGGCAATAAATGTACATTCATTTTATTTGCAACCATTGGTAGTTTTTTACCCAATCCAACACAATTCTGCATTTTCTGAAGCATTTGCTTCTGTATTCATTCAACCAATGTTTCATATTGCTCTGCTGCAAACGCTGCTTGTTGGAAGCATGTGAAAGTCAGCAACTGCATGTCAGCTCTGCTTCCGCTAGGTCTATCTTCTTACTGCTGCTTCTCACTTTAGGATGGTTCTGTGGCAGTGGTCCTCCTGTCACTTTTGGAACAAGACACATTTTGCATTGAAGTTGTTGCCTGTCTGATGTCCTATCTTCCTAAGTGTTTCACAGGATACTTTTAGGATGACTTTTTCCGTTGGAATTCTGAAACCACAGGTTGTACAAGAAATGTGGTACCAACATCTGCATCCAGTGAGGCCTCACATTGCTTCTACTTGGCAGAGGTGAAGTGGAGCCAGCATGTGCAAAAATCACATGTCAAGAGACATACAGAGAGTGAGAAAGAGATGCCAGGCTCTTTTTAACCGTCAGTTCCCCTAGGAACTAACGGAGTGAGAACTCACTCTTAACTGCAAGGACAGCACCAAGTAATTCATAAGGGGATCCATTCCTATGACCCAAACACCTCCCACTGGGCCCCACCTCCAGCACTCTGAATCAAATTTCAACATAACATTCAGAGGGTCAAATATCCAAATGATGGCAGATGGATAATGACTTTTTCTACAGGTCAGAGAATAAAGTTATATGGATCTTACCAAAGACAGAGAGACATCATTTGATATCTGAACCACTTACCTTAAGACTCTAATAAAGAAGACATAAGAAAAGTCCATCAAAGTTTTATTTCTTTGTTTGTTTGTTTGCAGAAAGTGATTTATTTAGAGACAGAGAGAGAGAGAGAAACAGGAGAAGGAGAGAGAAATAAACAGCTAACTCTCACACTGAGTGAGAGAATCCAGAAAGATGAAATCCAGGAGAGGAAAGCAGCTTCCACACTGAGTGGGAGGGAATAGAGAGACGGAGTTTGGGAGGGGAAGACAGGCTTTCACCAAGGGAGTGTTCGTGGCAGGGGACTCCAGAGGGGAAATCCAGGATAGAGAAAAACAGCTTCCACCAACACAAGAGTGTTTGTGGAAGGGAATCTAAACATGGAGTCCCCAGAGTTTTATTTCTAAGAAATAAATTTGCATATAACTCAAATGTAACAACTCTAGTATTACATCAATACAGCTATTATATCAATGTAACAATTATATAACACAAAAGTGTTATAATAACATGGGAAATGTTTGTGAACTGTGAAGCAAAAAGATACAAAACATTACTATGCCTACTGATATTACCTTTGAAAAAGGACTCATAAAAAATACATTGAATGTAAAAGTTGGCTGAATAAAATATTAACTGTGATACTTTCTTACAGATTATGGTTATCTTCTTCCATATAATTTTAATATGTACTAAAATTCATGTGTTTATTTTATAATCAGAATATGTCATAATTAAATGTTCTGCTGTGCCATTTCATCAGCTTATCAGAGCTTCTTATGGTGAATGCCACATTAAATTAGAATCTGAGTAAACAATGTTCAAAAATAGCTGATACATTTTAAGTTTAGGCTAAAAAACTCATATTTTTATTTGTAAAATGTGCTCAGTGTTAATTTTATTGATAATAACCAAAACTAACCTAATATTATATGATTTTTAAGTATGAATAACATGTCTGATTTTGTTAATTTTGTATACTACTTTTTCCTATATTTCCTTGTTTTCTTCATCCTAAAATTTTAAAAAATGAAAACTTTAATCATTATTGAATGCTTACACTATTGAATGTTTTCTTTTGTTAACTGAAGTAAAAGGAAGCATTCTTGTAGAATTATGGAAGCTAACAATGTAGTACGACCTAAAATGGAATGTTAGGAGGTTCTTCATTTTAAGGGTCTTCCTATAGGAGAAGTTTCCGTCGAACTGCTGCATCAATTTTGTCATCAATATTTCCCAGCTCCTGCTCTTTACAGAGTTCTAAGAATACCTAAGTAAGAGAAAATAAAAAAGATACAAAAATGTCAAGGTGTTGCTGAAAGATGGTTTCATACAGAGGTTATCTGGATGATGCTCTCTTGTTCAAAGAACGCACCTGCTCCAAAGTAGCTTGAGAGAAGCTGTATTCCTCCAGGTTGAAGGTGTTTCACTGCATTTAAAGAGACTGACATTAGCTTCAAACTGTTTAGATACTATAAGATATAGGCCAAATAATTACATTTCCTTGAAAGATAAATTAAAGAAGAGTGCTGATACGGCTAATAAAAGATAGCAATGCGTGAACATGTTCAATTTCCTATAAACGCTCTCTAAAAAGCTCCTTGTATCCTATTTTAGTAATAACCTTTTGATTCTTTACATGTATGCTTTGGACTCCAAATAAGCTGCTGAGAATAATTTATTCTATATTTATATATCTATGGAGAAGTCCACTCCTTGCTGGCTCCCTTTTAACAGATCTCACACTTCTACATTCTGCAACAACAGCCATAAATGCACAGTGTCTCTGCAACTAGTTCAGAAGCCCCTCCTCAGTCGTGACTTGTTACACCTCAGCCCTCTGTGTTTTCCTTCGCTGATCTTCACTCAGTCCTCCTGTTGTTGCCTCTGTACATTTGCTCCTGGTACTTTGTCTTTTAGAAACAGAGAGAACCCAAAAGCTCACCTTGATACTCTTTGGGACAACATTCTTATAATTATCCTTCAATTCTAAGCACTGATATTACGGTAAGAAACAGCCCTGTTACCCCAGTTCAGTCCTGCAGGATGGAATAACCTGACTGATCTGTGGTTGGGCTTCCTTGTCAGCACAGGAAGAATCATGTGGACCAAATCCACATGATTTGTGGGTTTGGCCACAAACAAACCACTTCATTTCCTTTGAGACTGTTAAGACTATTCTGGTTGGGATTTTCCAAGTTTTGACTGATTATTTAATTGTTCTACTTGAAAGTGTATAGTATATATTCTACATGAAAATATGCAACCAATACATAAAGTCTTATTTATATATACCCAAACTTACCTGGCTCTAATTTGAAAAAGGCCCAAGATAGAGGGTGGACATCCTCCACAGGTAACTTATGCCATTAAGGAGGAATATCTGTCAGGAAGAAGAGTGAGCTTTATCACTAAGTTTCAGTGTGATAACACTGGGGAGGAATTAATAGGAAAAGTAAAATAATTTTTCATAGTGTTCTTTAAATAAAAATGTCTGATTTGATAGAGCATGAATTGGTGTGAAATAACGTTCAGTCATAAAAAATGTTATAACAACAAAAACCTGGTTGCCTCTAATTTTATGTTAAAGATAAATTTTGAGAAATAGCTCTGATCAAGAATCTTTCCCACTCAGCCTGCACTTTCTTATTGTACTATATTTCTTACTCACTCTCAAAAAGCAAAGAATGTTTGCATTACTTTTCCCTCTCTCATAGGAGAGATTGAGATTTTTTAATCTCTCCTAAAACAATTAAAATATGTTGAACGCTCCTGCTAAAAAATAATGATTGACCTTCACCCCCCTTTCATGTTGCACAATCCAATAAACACTCTTCAGTCCTCATTTTCATACTTCTTAAAAGCATTAAATAAAATTGTACACATACTCCTTAAAACAAACATACTCTTTCTCTCTTACCTTCTGAGACAACCACACTTATGATTTTCCTTCTAACTCTCTAGGCCTGCACTGCTTAACAGAGTAACTACTAACTACATGTGGCTATTTAAATTTAAAGTAATTAAAATAAAATTTAAAATTCAACTCTTCATCCACACTAGCCACATCTGAAGTATTCAATAGCTACATACGTGTAGTGACTACCATTCTGGACAACACAGATAGAAACTTTTCATTATTACAAAAATTCTACTGGCCAGTGCTATTCTAGATACTCCTTGGTGTTTGTTGGTATGGTTGTGGTGGCGGTGTGGTGGTACTATCCAAACAGGAAGATTTATTGTCTTCCTCAATCCCATCTCAAAGCTGAGAGTTCCTGGGGTTCATCAAACTCTCTTGACTTCCTATCTCTCTTCTTGGCCTCAACATTCTCCAATTTTAATGGTCTTCTACATGGTAAAAATGCCTCACTTTGTTGCCAGACCAGATCTCAATCACCATTTCCTTTTCTTGTGAGCCACAGGTCTACATCTCTGTATTTTGGCAGCTCCACTTAGATATCTCTTTACATATTAACTCATGAGCTTTTGTTTCATCCTTCATATCTGTAGAATTTATTCTTGACCTAAGTTCTTTAAATGTGCTGTTTCCTAGAAACAGTGTCTGTTACTCCTGTTCTTCAGCTGACCAAACCCTGCTGTCTTAAAGTCCTACCTCAATGTCATATCCTCAATTTGCATTTTCATTTGCTTAATACCTTCACCTCCAAAAGAGAACTTCATCTATTTTGTTGACTGTTCAACACACAGCCTGCAGTCGATAATAGGTGTCCAATAAATATAATAAATATTATAAAAATAAATGAATAGAAGTAGTAAATCAGAAAATTCTGTTCATCTTTCAGTTAAATTCAGCCTCATTCTGCTATTCACAACGGTTTGATTATCATTACTTATATCCCATGGCTGACCACATATAACTTTAAAAGAAACATTGGGAGGATCAAATGATTACTCGATTGAATAATTCCAGACAGAGTAAATCCTTCTCAAGCATGGAAGTCTGTGTTACGGAGCTCCTGATACAATTTATATTCAGCAAAATCCTGTAGGTGAAAGCATTGTTTTCACTGTCTACTTTTTTAAATCATTAAAAAGTTGATAGCTTAATTTATCTATACTTTGTTCTTAATCTCCAAGCCATTCCACCATTTACACAGATACATATGAATGCACACACACACCATTCACTTTTTCTGAGGTCTAAAACACTCACTGAAAATAACTTTTTAGTTTTTACAACACATCCTAGCAATCCTCAACTTGTTTTGTGATGAACAAGCCCTCTCAGTCTTTCTCTTCCTGTTTAGACTCGCAGAAAACTAAATGATGCTAACACTGGAAAACACTGATACTTGTCACTCAAACCAAAAACATCCTTTACCTTTCCTGCCCAGCAGCCTGTGGGAAAAATACAAAATCTCTGTGTGGAGAGGTTCCACCTGAGTAGGTTCTTTCATTTTTTATTTCTAGCAAATAATCTTTACCAAACTTGTTTTTCAGATGTTGAATGCAACCAATACACCTAGTTCAGGGTTGATAAAGAAAGAAAAAATACTTGTCTCTGAATTTCTTCCTCAGTACTCACTGTAGAGTAAGGTGTTTAATTATACATCAGGGAGTTGAAGAGCATCAGCTGTTGATAGTGAACTGAAACTCTCTCTACAAGAACATATCAGTCCTGTGCTGGCTCAGGACAGGCACCTACCTACCTTAGCGTTCCTGACACCATCGTGGCCACATGGCCACACACAGCCTTAGCCTCTGACATGTAATGGGTGGTCAAGAGGGCACCCCACTCCTTGGTTATAACAGTAGCCCGAAGTGTCTGCCTAAAAATAAAGTAAAAGATTGTTCGCATTTAGAAAGTAATTTGGGAAAATACATAAATAGGAAAAAGCATGAAATCTAAAGAGAAAATTTTATGTTAGGATACAAGAAGCTTGTATGGTGAAACCCCATCTCTACAAAAAAGTTAAAAATTAGCCAGGCATGGTGGCACATGCCTGTGGTCCCAGCTACTCAGGAGGCTGAAGTGAGTGGATCACTTAAGCCCAGGAGGTTGAGGCTGCAGTGAGCTATGATTGCACCACTGCATTTCAGCCTTGGTGACAGAGCAAGACCCTGACTCAAGTAATACAATAAAATAAATAAATGAATAATAAATAAATTAGGCTACAAGAGAAAATCTTTGCCATAGAGAAAAAGAATAAAAATTGTGCTACATTACCTAAGGATAGTACCATATTAATAGGCTTCATAAAAAGAAGAGCATTGGAAAATATTGATTAAAATAATCCACTATTAGGGAAAAAAAAGTTGGAGTAAAAAATAGAGAAATATCACACCATATGACTTTCAATAATTGAAAAATGACATGGAAAAATAAAATACAGGGGGAAGAGGAATAAGAGAAGAAAAATCCAATCAAATATAATCAGGAGTCTATTTGGGTCTTAAAATGTTTATTTTTTCCTTCCTGGAGGAATTTGAATGCTATATTAAATTTCACTGAATTATGTAATAGAGGATGTGCACATCAAAGGTTAAATGGAGCACAATTTAACAAACGTACACACAAAAAACCAACCTAGATGAATTCTATTGACTCTGACACTTAATATTCACTCTCCTTACCACATTTGCTGCTGCCCCTCGGGGTCCATCCCGGTGAATGGCTCATCTAGAAGTACCACTGATGGGTTCTTCAGGATGCTCAGCATGAAGCACAGCTTCAATGAGAGGAACAGCCCATGGGCACCCAGCCATGGGTGCACAGAGCAACCCCGAGCCTGGTCTATAACTTTCTCTTTATTCCCTCTGATAGAGTTTTCACGGGAGCCTTAAGTTGCTCCTGGAGATTGAGAGCTTCCACCAATCTGACAAAAAACAGTGTGATTATACATGAAGTGTACAGCAAATGGACCTATCTGAAATAACTACAGGAAGCCCTTAGCACTATTATTCTAGATAGTAAATTCAAGCTTCCTTAATATTTTTATAAATGCTAAATCTTATGATTTGGTTCTTATTCAGGTATTTCAAACATTTTATTTGCATGAAAATTTAAAGACATTGTTTATGATCTCCTTTTTTTAGATAATAGAGATTACATATTTTTCCCTTCTTTCAGCTACAAATTGTGAGAATTCTCTCTGTACCATGGAATACCAAGAGAGGCATCTTTTTTGCCTAGTCCTTTCACAGCTGCATTACAACTCCAGGTGCTCTTTCATTGTAAGCTCAGGCCACAGTGAGTTCTCCTGAGGGCAGTACCCCAAGAACTTGAGGCTGTTGTCACACTGTTGCATTACTGGCGCTCTGCTCCCTTGTAACACCACCTACGCAGGACAATGAATACCAGATCCACCTTTGGTTTTTGCTCCAATCTGCTCTACTAAAAGAGATAAAAGTGGCCATTAAGCTACAATATTTTTTGAATACTCAAGATAAATTTTATTTTTATTTATTTTTTTTGAGACGGAGTTTCACTCTTGTTACCCAGGCTGGAGTGCAATGGCACAATCTCGGCTCACTGCAACCTCCGCCTCCTGGGTTCAGGCAATTCTCCTGCCTCAGCCTCCCGAGTAGCTGAGACTACAGGCACGCGCCACCATGCCCAGCTAATTTTTGTATTTTTAGTAGAGACGGGGTTTCACCATGTTGACCAGGATGGTCTTGATCTCTTGACCTCGTGATCCACCTGCCTCGGCCTCCCAAAGTGCTGGGATTACAGGTGTGAGCCACCGCGCCTGGCCTCAAGATAAATTTTATAAATTCTTTCATCTATTTTTTGATATTTGATTTACTGATAAGAATAACAGAAGGATGTCATAAATATTTAAAACAAAATTTCCTTCACATGTCATGTACCACTCCTGCAGTTGGCTTTGTTTGTGCACCCAGTGATCATTTTAATGGAACTACTTTTACCAGCTCCATTGTGGCCTAGTTATCCTAAAATTTCACCTGGAAGAAAGAGTTAACATCAGTATTTGAATTTTCAAGGCTGACTAATCTAAAATTGCTTGGTTGGTTCCATAACAATTTGCAAACAAAATGAGTTCTTTTCAGAGACAGAATCTTGCCCTGTCACCTGGGCTGGAATGCAGTGGTGTAATCATTGCTTATTGCAGCCTCAATCTCCTGGGCTCAAGCCATCTTCCAGTATCAGCCTCTCAAGTAGGTGAAACTACATGCATGCATCACCACACCCAACTAATTTAAAAATTTTTTGTAGAGATGGAGTCTTGCTATGTTGCCCAGGCTGGTCTCAAACTCCTGGCCTCAAGCCAGCACTCCTCCCACCTCAGCCTCCCAAAGCACTACGATTAGAGGCATGAGCCACCACGGCCAGCCCAAAATGTTTCTAAAACAAAAGCTTAGTTAGCACCTTGAAAACTCCTGTATTACAACATTAATACAGAGAATTGGGGTCTTGCCATTTGAATTGGGACATGATTTTGAAGTAGAAAAGACTTATCTGCTGACATGTGAAGAAGTTTCATAATTACACATTAACCAGGAAATATGAACAGTCTCAAAGAATAAAAATTTGTCCCCTTTGTAGTCTTAAATCTAGAGAATAAGGAACATTACAACAATAGTAATAAAGAGAGCAATTACTCAAACCTTTTTTAACACAAAAGGAAACATTTCTGATGGCTATTTTCTTCTTTCCTGCTGAAAAGCAACTTTTCTTTGTTTCATAACATTCCTTGTGTAAACAGCTTGCAGTTATGGCTGGTTTCTGGAAAATATGACAAAGCATGATTTTCCTGTTAAATTTCAGATATTTTATGAATTAATGTTTTATTTTCCATTTCCTAGTCTATAAACCTAACCAAATTTGATACCAAGCTGAAGAGCTTTAGCCCCTTTTTTCAAATAAAACACCCAAATGTATGTTCATAAATAAGGGCTACTTAATCAACTACTAATGAAATTAATTCCTAATTAAATACATTCCCTTTGCATTATGCTAGCATCTATCCTTGCCCTTTCCATTAATTTCATTCCCAGTTTATTCCATATTGATTTTCATGCATTGTAAATTCATTTGCTCTTGTTCATATGCTATTCAGTTATTAATATTACAAGTATACGATAATACAAAATGAAATTGTGACTTGAAAAATGTTGGATTTTGTTAAAATTAATTTTAAAATATCAGAGAACTTGTTGAATCAATCTGATGAATGAGGAGCTGGAAGATTAAGACCCACAGAAAACTGAAGAAGAAAAAAATAGAATGAAAACAGGGTAATTACTTTTAAAAAGAATAATTTGAATATTAGCTACAAACAGACATATTAAAAAAACAAAAGCAACCTTTCAAAATAAAAACCAACATTCTATAGGGCAAACTAATTACCTGAGAATTTCATTAAGGGTCTAATCACTGTTGTCCACATCCTCCAAGTTTGGAGTAGTGAGTACATTTGCTGCTTTGACTCTTTCAGCTTGAAAATTTTCATCTTCTTCTTAGTGCTCTTCTGGATTGGGATGAATTTCTCTACTTTGTGGAGAGATTCTACAGAGGAAATAAAATAACATAAAAATGCAATTCTGGCTGTACAACAACTATCAAGAAAATGTAAACCCCTATAATTAAATTATTATCCTTTTTTTAAAAAGACTATAAAATGATTAATTTATTAACTACAAGATTCTTCCTGGCAGTAATAATACCTCCAGTAGCCAAGACCTTTGAAATCTTCTTTGACTATATCTTCTCTTTAAAACATTTATCCTGTCAACTGGTTCTCTCGCTTCTTTTAAATCTCTTAAATGTAGACATATGGGCATTTTAGTCTGTCACATCCAGATCATGACCACTTTCCTCATAAAATATCATCCTAATTGGTCTTATATTGAACCAGTTTTTACTGTACCTTCTACTTAGGGACCCATAATAGCCATAACCAGAAGAAAAGCAAGCTTTGATGCTTAACCACAACTTACAGAGATGTATGGGACAAAAACTTATCTTACCTAAAATCGGAACCTATGACTTAGAAACTAAATATCCCTGCGTCCAATCTAATTCTGTTTTCTTTTTCCAAAAACAGCACTATACAACATGCTTAGTCAAGGGCTGGGTGGTAAATCCATGTTAATAAACTGATGTTAAACATACTGTAATAAAGACTAAATATTTAAAACCACAGCAGAAGGATCACTTGAGGCCAGGGGTTTGAGATCAGCTTGAGCAATATAGCAAGATCTTGTCTCTATTTTCAAAAATAAAAATAAATAAAATAAAAATATAAATTTTAAAAGACTAAATATTTAAATTACATTCAGATCTCAATTACTATTCTCCCAACCTGAAACCCTGTCTCTATTTTCAAAAATAAATATAACTAAAATAAAATTATAAATTTAAAAAGACTAAATATTTAAATTACATTCAGATCTCAATTAATGTTCTTCCAACCTGAAAACTGGGTCTTTACTCATTATTTCATTTCCATACTTCATTTCCAGACACCTTATGATAAGAAGGACACAGTAGGTAACATTGCTTACCTGGATCAATAACGTGACATATCCAAGCAAAGCGAAGGAAGGCATTAAAATCATGCACAAAATTAAATTGGGTTTTTCACGTTGAGTTGACACCAGAATTGTGGATATACATATTAATATCTAGAAGAAAAAATCCAGAGATATTATAATTTTCTTAGTTATATTTGATATGTTAAGGTATTGCCTATGAATAACCTGTTATCCTGGGAGATAACTGTCATTTTCAACTTTGGCCTCACAGATAGAAATATTCTTAGGATGTCCTCTTTAGTAAGTATCAAACTCCACTGTAACTAAAACACAGGATCACAATAAGGTCTGACATAAATATCTTAACGACTTTGCATTACCCAGTAGGGATAAACGGCAACAATAAAAGAAGGCAATATAACATTATTCAATGAGTTTATTATAACTAATCTTAATATGTTTTTGGTACAAGGATACAGTGAAGAATTAACTGATGATACGATTTGGGAACTTAAAAGACAAAATAAACTTTGAGGTTGGTGTTTATTGCCATATCTAGGCAGTAAGAGAAATGTCAGAATTATTAGTCTTAATATCCAAGGTAGGAATATTGAACAGTTTAGAACATTCCCAGAGGTAAATAATATGAACGTCACTTAAAGGGCAGCCCATATCGCCACTCAGACTGTTAGTAGTTTCCTAAAATGGCTCTCTGGTTCCAGTTCTTCCACCATTCAAAATTCATATTACATTCCAAAGAGTGTATACAGTGGGCCCTTGAACAGCATGAGTTTGAACAGCATGGGTGCAATTATAGGTGGATTTTTTCCATAAATATGTTAGAAATTTGGGGGAAGATTTGTGACTATTTGAAAACCTCACAGATGAACCACATAGTCTACATGTACTGAAAAAATTATAGAAAAGTTAGGTATATCATAAATGCATAAAATATATGTAGATATTAGTCTATTTTGTCATTTACCACTGTAAATTATAAACAAATCTGTTATAAAAAGTTAAACTGTATCAAAACATGCACAGAAACACATACCATACATGTTGCCATTAGCAATCAAGAAAAATGTAAACATAAAGATACAGATTTAAATCATGACTGCATAAAATTAACTGTAGAATATGCTGTACCCTTGTAATAATTTTGTAGTCAACTCCTGTTGCTACTGTGAGGAGTTCAAGTTTGCAAATACTCCCTTAAAATGCTGTGTGAGGTTCCTTACTCTCAAGCAAATGGCATATCTCAGAAAAAATGACCTCTCATGGTTCTTGCAGATTTTCATTGTGTTTAGTGCAATACTGTAAACTTTGAATAATACCATAAAACCTATAGGAATTTCCACTAGTGATTCTGGAAGTTCTCCCAAGAAGCAGAGAAAAGTCATGACATTACAAGAAAAAAGCTGAATTGCTTGATATGTAACATAGATTGATACATAGATATGTACTATAAATTGCAGTTGCCTGCCATTTCAAAATAAATAAATCCAGTGTAAGGACCACCGTAAAAGAAGAAAAGGATATTTATGCATCTGTCACTGTAGCCATACCAGGAGGCACAAAAACCTTGCACTTTTTGTGAAATGCCTTTCTATCTCATATTGAAGATCCAACATTTATACCTACAGTCTTTAATACAATTTGATAAAAAAAGTGAAGTCATTATGTAACAACTTAAAGAAAATGTGAAAGATCTAAAGCTGGAGAATGTAATGCCCTCAAAGGATGCTTTGATAATTTTAGAAAGCCATTTGGCTTAAAACATGTCAAGATAACAGAGAAAGCAGCTTCAGCCAATCAAGATGCAGTAGACAAGCTCCCAGATACTATTAATAAAAATTGTTGAAGAGAAAATATATCTACCTGAACATGTTTTTAATACAGATGTAAGTGCCCTATTCTGGGCGGAAAAATTCCACAAAGGACATTGATTAGTAGGAAAGAGAATTACGTACCAGGATTTAAGGTAGAAAAGGACAGGCTATTTGTGCAAATGTAGTTGGATTGATGATCAGTACTGCTGCTATCTATAAAGCTGCTAACATTCAAGCCTTGAAGGGAAAAGATAAACACCAACTGCCAGTCTTTTGGTTATACAACAAGAAGGCCTAGACAAAGACAGCCCTTTTTCTGGATTGGTTCCATTGATGCTTTGTCCCTAAAGTCAGCAAGTACTTTTAAAGTTCCTTTTAAACTGCCTTTTAAAGTTCTTTTGCTATTGGACAGCACCCTTGGTAACCCAGAACCACATGAGTTCAACACCGACAGCAACAAAGTGGTCTGCTTGCTCCCAAACACAGCATCTCTAATCCAATCTCTAGATCAGGGGTCAAAAGAACTTTTAAGACTCATTACACACAATACTCTATGGAAAGTATTGTCAACATTATAGAAGAGAACCCTGATAGAGAGAACATCATGAAAGTCTGGAAGGATTCTACCATTGGAGATGCCATCATTGTTACAGGAAGAGCTTTGAAAACCATCAAGCCTGAAACAACAAATTGCTGCTGAAGAAAATTGTATACAGATGTTGTGCATAACTTCACAGGATTTATAATAGAACAAGGAAATAAAAAAGAGATTGTAGATATGGCAAATAGGGTGGGGTGTGAAGGGTTTCAAGATATGGATCTTGGAGAAATTCAAGAACTAATAGACATCACACCAGAGAAATTAACAGAAGACAATTTTATGGAAAGGAAGGTTTCCATTGCCAGAGGATGAGAAAGAACAAGTAGAAGAAGCAGTGCCAGAAAACGAATTGATGTTAAACAATTTGAAAGAAGGATTCTGATTATTCAAGACTGCTTTTGACTTATTTTATGACATGGAATTGTCTATGATATAGGCATTGAAACCAAAGCAAACAGTAGAAAAGGATTGGTACTATATAAAGACATTTTTGGAGAAATAAAAAAGCAAAAAGTAAGACAGAAATTGTATTTCTGTAAAGTTATACCAAGTGTGTCTGCCTGTCTCTCCTGCCTCCCCTTCTACCTCTTGCACCTCTTTCACCTCTGACACCCCTAAGACAGCAAGACCAACTCCTCCTCTGCCTTCTCTTCCCCCTCTCTTCATTCTTGACAAGAATGAAAACCAAGAATGATGATCCACCTCTACTTTCAAGAATGAAAGAAAGTAAATATATCTTTATGACTTTCTTAATAACATTTTCTTTTCTCTAGTTTACTTTATTGTGAGAATATAATGTATAATACATATACAAAATATGTGTTACAGAACTATGTTATCAGTAAGATTTCAGTCAACAATAGGCTATGAGTAGTTAAGTTTTGGAGAGTCAAAAGTTACACATGAATTTTCAATTGCATGGGTTAAGGGGGATTGGTGCCTCTTATTCTGACATTATTCAAGGGTCAAATATATGTTGATTTGAACAGGAATTATTCTTTTTTATATTTCATTGAATGTAAGCTCCTGATTACAGAAATTTGCTTTGTTCATGGTTATATTTCAAGCAAGGTATCTGGAACACAGGAAAATACAATCAATATGAATGAATGAATAAATATTGAGAAGGGAAAAGAATAAGGAAGATTTCTATTGTTCTGTTTTTATTCAACAAATAATCAAAAAGGATGCATAGTAAGAGTCCAGTTTATACAAAACACTTTGTTAAATAGTATTGTAATTACTGTAGTTACAGGAATAAAAGTGGAGGAAGAAAAGTAAGATGATATGGTTTGGCTCTGTGTCCCCAACCAAATCTCATCTTGTAGTTCCCATAATTCCCATGTGTTGTGGGAGAGACCCAGTGGGAGATGATTGAATAAAGTTTATGGCAGAAGGAAGAATAAATATAGAATGCAGAAGCAGAAACAGGAAGTGTTTGATTACTCCTTACAATGTATTGTTGTGGCTATCATTGCTTCCCACAAGAAATGGTTAATGGAAGACTTTTTCTTTTTCTTTTTTCTTTTTTTCTTTTCTTTTTTTTTTTTGATGAGTAAAACAAAACGGATGGGGTAATTACTGTAGTAAGATGACAAAAAGAAATAGAATGAAGATGAAAGAAGAAAGATGTTCAAAGATACATTCTTCACTTGCATTGTTAGATTTAGAAAATCTAACAATTTTTATACAATACTGACGATATATTGCTATATATTTTGTTAAAGCAATACCTTTAATAATTACAAAGACTATGGCCACTAAATCTTTGAGGAGATTCTGAAATATACACAAAATTCTTAAACACTGTACTTTTTTTTTTTTTTGGCACCACACTGTTTTATTTCAAACTGCAAACAATATAAAGAGGTAAGGACTTCTGACACCAAACCATGCAAGAAGTAACAGAGAAAAATATTAACAACAAAAAGTAAATCATTAAAAAATCAAACAAGTACTTCACATTTCACAGCAGTGCTTTGGCAGTACTGGCAAGCATTTCTGATCAATTTCTTCCAACAGCAGGGATATGAAGAAACCCCCAGATCTTAGCAAAAGTATAACCACATTTTCTTCCCAATAGTTTATACTCCCAAGTCATTCCATACTACACCGCTCCACTCCACTCCACTGTACTTTTCTAAGGAAATATTGTATGAGTCAACTGTCCATACATCAAGTCAATATATAATGTGTTGGATACCATGAACTTATATATACAAAACAGATACTTCTAAATGCCTAAAATAAAGAAGCAGACGGTATCTGTGAACTGGAAGATTCACTATGTAAAGATATCATTTCTCCCTCAAAGTAATTTATAGATTCAATACAATCCCAATTAATGTCACTTCTTAAGGAATTTGACAAGCAGTTTCTAAAAAGTGCATAAAAATACAAAGAATCAAAAATAGTCAAGACGCTTAAAAAAGAACAAGGTGGGAAGATTTGCTGTCTCAAATAAAGCTACCATAACTGAGACAGTGTGGTGTTGATGTATATACAGAAAAACAGATTAATAGAAGAAACCAGAAAGGCCAGAAATAGTCTTAATCAATAACAAAGGTAGCACTGCAAAGCACTGAGATAATGATATGGACAAGTGGATATATAAATATGATACATGTCAAAAATATGTATATTTATATATACATATAAATAGTGTTTCTTCCATATGTACAAGAAATTTTTCTGAAGGAATAAACAATATAAATTGAAATAAATTCAGGGTTTCATCAGCTTATTTTATACACATTGTGTATATTTCAGAATCTCCTCAAAGATTTAGTGGCCATAGTCTTTGTAATTATTAAAGGTATTACTTTAACAAACTATATAGCAATATATCTACAGTACTGTATAAAAATTAAGTTACATTTTCTAAATCTAACAATGCAAGTGAAGACTGTATCTTTGACTATCTTACATCTTTTATCTTTATTCTGTTTCTTTTTGTCATCTTACTACACTAATTATCCCATCTATATTGCTTTACTCATCAAAAAAAAAAGTCTTCCATCAACCATTCCTTCTGCGAAGCAATGATAGCAACAGCAATGCATTGTAAGAAGTAATCAAACACTTCCTGTTTCTACTTCTGCATTCTATATTTATTCTTCCATCTGCTACCAACTGTATTCTACATTCACCGCTTTATAAAACTGCAGTCTCAAAAGTCAGTTGTAGACATCTGTATGTAGCAATAAGGTATAACAGATACCCTAAAGCAGGCATCCCCAAACTACGGCCCGCGGGCCACATGCGGCCCTTTGAGGCCATTTATCCGCCCCCCCCACCCTGCCGCACTTCAGGAAGGGGCACCTCTTTCATTGGTGGTCAGTGAGAGGAGCACAGTATGTGGCGGCCCTCCAACGGTCTGAGGGACAGTGAACTGGCCCCCTGTGTAAAAAGTTTGGGGACGCCTGCACTAAAGGGTCTTACCCATACTGTACAATTAAATTTGGGAAAATTAAAACAAGTGTCCTTTAAATATACCGCTAGTTTCAAGGGGAAAAAAAGTGAGGAAATTCTTCAAGGACAAAAAGCCTGAAACCCAACTTGGACCATTAAGTAAACACAAAATCTGCTTGGGCTGAGGACAAATCTCCATATCAGCCCACGGATTTGGAAGACATGATTTGGGTTCTCTTTAAAGTACTTCCCTGCAAAGACTTTGGAGAGACTAAAATGAAACCCTTTTGATGGGAGTTCCTTGCAAATCCCATATTGAGGCATGATACTCTAAGTTGGCTTATACAACCTTAGATGGATTTTATACTGCACTTCTCACAAAGATAATTGAAAAAATTTTGAGGATGAAAACATCCCTAATATAGAGTCTTAGGAGTCCCACACTTTAAAGTCAACCAAATATGAGCTCCTCTTCCCAAGAACAACAAAAAAATACATAAAACATACAAGGCAATAAGCACTAGATGACTTTTGATACTAGAATTATCAAATAACAAGTGGAAATATTATTTCCAATGAAATGTTTAAATAAATCAAATATGAAATACAGAACAATAGCAAGCAACAAAAGATTGTGAGAAATAATCAAGCATATTTTAAATAGAACCAAAAAGAGATTTGGAAAACAAAACTGAAATTTTATGTAGTCAATGAGTAAAGATAATTGAGATGCAGATGAATTTAAAACAAGTGAATTGGAAGAAACATCTAAAGCTTTCCCAAGAAGGCAGCAAGGACAAGGACATGGAAAATTGGAATGAAATGCTAACAGATGTACAGAACAGTGTGAAAATCTCAGAGGCAATACTTGAAGTGGTATTGGCTGAGAATTTCCCTAATCTGACGACAGAAATGAATTTGAATGTTCAGAAATGAATGTTTCTAGGTTTGGATGTCTATTTTTCTTTATTTTTACACAATTTGTACAAAATAAAGATAAACAGAAGTCCACACCTAGAAACATTCTAATGAAGTAAAAAAAAAAAAAAAATTAAAGTTAAAGGTTAGTCAATGAGAGAGCCTCTACAAAGGATGGCAACTGACTGATAGCAGACATCTGAACAGTAAAAATGTAAGCAAGAAGAGAGTGAATTTTCAAAGTGACAAGAGAAAATAATTGTCAACCTAGAAATGCAAATGCAGCTAAATTATATTTTAAGAATGGGGGTGAAAAATGATTTTTTTAAAAACTAAGAGTTTATAGCTAACTGACCTGCTTAAAAGAATATATAAATGATGCATTTTGGGAAACAAACAAACAAAAAAAGATGACAGATCTCAGATCTCAAAATGGTGGGAAAAAAAAACTAAAATCCAAGTATGAATAGTGAACAAATAGATTGATTTAAAATGTACACAAATCTTTTTTAAGTTCTTAAAATGTTAATAAAGATGCTTATTTGAGGGATTAAAAAAGAAAACCAAAACACTAGACAATAGCATGTGAGTAGGGTAAGAAATTATTAATAATAAAATCCCCCAAATATGGTGTTGGAAGTAATCAGGATATTCATTTACTTTAGGCTTTGTTAGGTTTAGTATTTTAAAATATTTTCAGGGGTGTTATGGGCTGAATTTTGCCTCCCCAAAACATATATGTTTAAATCTTAACCCCCAGTAGCTCAGAACATGACTATATTTAGAAATAGTCTCTAAATGGGTAATTAAGTTTAAAGGATGCCAGTGAGGGAGACCCTAACCGAACATGACTATTGTCTTTATAAGAAGGGGAGACTGGGACACAGACACACCCCAGAGGAAGACCATGAGAATACACTAGAAGAAGATGACCCTCTATAAGCCCATAGGAGAGGTCAACCCAGCCAATAGCTTGACCTTGGACTTTTGGTCTCTAGAATTGTGAGAAAATAATTCTGTTCCTTAAGCCACAAAGTCTGTAGTACTTTATTACAGCAGCCCTAGCAACCTAATACAAAGTAATAAAATACAGCTTATGACTTTCAAACCAGAAAAGAGAAAAATGTGGAATAAAAACAAATTTAAACAAACAAGAAAGGCAAGAAAGAAGGGAAATCACACAGGGCCATCACATATATAAAGCAAAAAGTAAAATAGTGTAACTTCATGTATATCAAAAATCACAATAAACTCACTACATTAAAATCAGGTTGTCAGATTGAATTTCAAAACAGCAAATAAAATCCAACCGAATTTGTTTTAAAAGAGACAGATATTAAAGCATAAGAACAATAAAAGGTTAAAAGTAAACAAACATGGCAAAAAAAAGATTGATCAAGCAAATACAGAACAAAAGAAATCTGCTATATCTATATTAATATGAAACCCATTTGACTTTATGGCCAAAAACCATAAGAATAAATAGGGTTGGTGTATAATCATTCTAGACTTCAATGCACCCAACAAAATAGTCTCAAAATATACAAAGCAAAATTGGATTAAATTAAAAAAGTGAAACTGACAAGACTACCTTTATAATGGGATTACAAGAGAAAGATAAAGATCAATGACTAACACCAATGGTTAAGAAGACATTACCCTTGGCTATAACATTTGACCACTGTTGTACAACCAGTGATAAAACTGGCCCAAGGAATTATGTGATTAGCTGTCACAGGGATGGGATTTGGAGGTTTGGAGGCAATTTAGTAGCCTTTAGGATTTCTGCTGACATACTGAATTCTCCAACTGGTTATATTTGTGTATTCCTGCTCATACTAAATCCAACTTTTAGATACTACTCACAAAGGCTAACCAATATAACTGTAACAGCTCCAGTGAAGTACAACTTTGGTCCCTTTACCCTAATCCCTCCACACGGTCCACAGAAAGAGAAAGGGAAATCCAGAAGAAAAAAAAAAGTCAAAGTACGGATCTTGCTTCCTTTCTTACAGCTGATCCCCAAACTAAGGGCATACCTGAGATGAGCCCGGGCAGAGTTTTATATTGCTTATGAAAGTTATGATTTGGACTTGACCAATATTTTAGATTTTTAGTTCTTTAAGTGAATCTTATTTAACAAAATTGGGCTGTTTTAATATGTGAAATCAGCTAGTAATAGGGAAGGAGATGCAATAGCGTATGCCTGAAGTAATAAGTAAATTATTTATTAAGAAAACAATTTCTTACTTATTTATGTTATTAGTCTATATAGCCACCTATTATGCTTGTCGTTCGCTTGTTTTTCAAGAATAATTATTTGAGAGGAAAACCTCACTGAGTTCAGTGGCCTGGGTTTAAGTCTGATTCTTTTCAGTTTTTCCCACTTTGTAAAATAAAGAAACTGTCTCAAATGATCTAATCTTTTAGCTGTGACATGCCATGGTTTCTACAGATATTTTGCTTCTTTCCAAAGAAACAGAGTTCTAAAAGAGAAACCTCATAGAACAAATGGGAAATAAAGGAAATAAAATGAACAAAACATTCTGAAACCAAAAACATGGTACAACATTAATGAAAGTACAAAAGAAAAACACAAAAAATCCTCCATTCTCTTCTAAGCAATGTATTTATACTTAAATTTACATTTTTTTTTCCCAGCTGAGAACCTAGAGGGGTAGGAGGAACATCTTTTTCCCCCACCTACAGCAGTGTTTTAAAGGGATTCCTTTATTCTTGTTTTCCTTTTACAGCTGCCTAGTGTCTCATTGTATAGATGTGCTCCGTGGACATTTTCTTTCCAGGCCTTTGTAAGCAAAGAGCAATTCATTACCTTTACAAAGCAATGTTCATGCATGCAAGGATATCTGTAACACAAAGAAGTGGGTTTTCTTTTTTTTTTTTTTTTTTTTTTTAGAAGTGGGTTTTCTTTTTTTTTATTTCCTTAAATTTACATTTTAAAAAACTTTAAGAAAATTTAATATAAATGTGTATGCATGTATACATACTTATAATAAACAACCCAAAAGACCAAAAGCCATTACTTTTTTTCCACTTCCAAAAGATGAATGAAAATATGTACGTGAGGAATATAAGAGAGGCTGCACAACCAATTATGCATACCACCTGCAAAGAATAAGGATCAACAGCAAGATTAGAAATGGCAGGTCATAGAGGGAAAGAGGAGGAGAGAGAATGCAGTCATAAAGCTGCCTAAGGCAATTTTCTTATTTTCTTGCATACTACATGCCTTTTGCTAATGACAAAATGTTCATGAAAATAAACACATATTAATATTCAAATGCAAGTCAAGGACCAACAGAAGCTAACAAAAGTGTCTGGACTAGCATACAGGAAGAGGAATAAGTGACAAAAGAAAAACTCACATGAATTTTATAGAATAGTAGCATTAAATGGCAGACTAAAAGAAGTGTAAAAAAGAGGGATGCATTTAAAAAGACAATTTTGTAGCTTAGGAAACTGAAACAGTCACAATAACAATGATAGAAAGGGGAACCTTACATCTACTTTATGAGGTAGAAAAAGCAAGTATTAAAATCACAAAATTTTAAAAATAGGACTATTACAGATTATCTGCTTGCAGTTCCCATCTTGCAGAAGAGAAAGTTGTGCCATAACGGTAATAAACAGTGCACAGCCTGACTAGTTATCCAGTCTACCCACTCATTTATCCATTCAACAAACATTTATAGAGTTTCTGCTCTGTGCAATGCATCATCCTTTGTGCTAGAAATAAGTTAAGTATAATTATTACCCTCAAGAAGTCCATATCTGAAAAACAATGACAAACTCAGTTCCATTAAAAAATAAATTAGGAGGGTATTTAAGCATTAAAGCATCTGCTGAAAAGTCCTGGATGACATTAGAAAGAGGTTGCTTTCTTTTAAAAAAAGGCAAGACAACATCAATTCTATAATGAAAGTAAATAATTAAGGCTAAATAAAGGCACAATTAACTCTGGCAGTATTGGGAAACAGCTGAAATTATATTAGATCTGACTCTTGAGAAATTACTAGGACTAAGTTCTGATTATATTTTCCTTATTTTTGCTCTGAACTGGTAGTACCTTGCTATTATCTTCTCAAAAGACACTGTATTGTTTTCTATTAGATAGTTTCTATACTTAACAATTAAATCACCCTATCTCATTTGCAGAAAACTAGAGTTTGCATTATACAGTATTTATTTCTTATTGTGCAATTTTCCAATAAAACCTCATTCTCTAAAACCACTATGCATATTCTTGCTAACATCCACATGATTTCTATAATTTTTCCTTTTTTATCTATCATAATCAAACACACCAGTTAGAAATTATTTGATGGTTTAAAAAGGATAACTAAATTGTGTCTGATCAAAAATTGCACTTCACAAATATAAAGACACCAAACCCAAAAAGGCACTGCAGAATTTAAAATGATGAAGAACAATAGAACTATTAAATAATCATAATTTGGGGATTGGATCCTTTTTTTTTTTGGAGACAGTGTTTTCTTCTTGCTGCTCAAGCTGGAGTGCAACAGTGCCACCTCGGCTCACTGCAACCTCCACCTCTTGGGTTCAAGCAATTCTCCTGCCTCAGCCTCCCAAGTAGCTAGGATTACAGGTGCCCACCACTATATCTGGCTAATTTTTATATTTTTAGTAGAGACAAGGTTTCACCATGTTAGTCAGGCAGGTCTCGAACTCCTGACCTCGTGATATGCCAGTCTTAGCCTCCCAAAGTGCTAGGATTATAGGCTTGAGCCCCCTTGCCTGGCTGGACTGGACTATATTTTATCATAATCCCTTTATGGTGGAGATATACATATACATATATGGGTGCATATGTACACATACACACTTTTTTGCATTTGCATTAATCCGTGCATATGTCTTATATTCATCTAATTCTCCAGGGAAATCTGATAATCTGACATGGAATTAAGGATTTAGGTTTGAGGTATCTCTGGCAGTCTTCATTTCCAAGCAAATCCATTCATTGATTTCAGTAAATATGCACTGAGTACCCAGTAAGTTGTAGTTGGTAAATCAAAGTCAAAATTATGAGTTTTCAACAGTTCTGTTTTTTTTTTCTCTATTATTTTACATTTTTGCAGTGCCCTTTTGGATTTGACTCTTCTAATATTCTGTGTTGGGCTGCGATTTTTGATCACACAAGATTTTAAACTAGAGGCGTGAGGCCAGCCATAAAACATAACTCTATAGTATACCGAGTGTTAATAAATGCAATGAAAAAAATAGATCAGGATAAGGGGAAGTGATAGGTTACATGCAACTTACTAAAAAATTATATATTTAAATTTTTCCATAAAACTTTTGAATTTTAAAAATTTAATTAGACTAAACATAAAAGTACTTGAAAGATTCTTGATCTTTTAGAATAAGTAATAGCAAACATGTATTTGAATGCTTCCTCTTTATAAGAGTGTAAGCTCCATGTGGGTGAGACTTTTGTCTTCTCTGTTCATGCTGTATTCTTGACATCTAGAAGTACCAGAAAACAGTACACTCAGAAAGTAGTTATTGAATTAATTTAAATATGTATTTATACGTAAATACATATATGCCATGCTGTGTTGTAGGTACTCAGTAAATTCATTTAACTTTCATAATAATTATATAAAGTAGATACTATTACACTCCCTGTCTTGCAGATAAAGACACAAAGGCAAGGAGTAGCTAAGAAATTTGCTATTAAGTGGAAGAAGCAGGATTTGAACTCAGGTGGTATAGGCTCTAGAGCCCTCATCCTTTGTTACTCTGCTGTGTTGCCTCTTATATAAGTCAATACTCTACTTACACGAGAAAATGAGCTGCTCTCCATTTGAATAAGCTCTGTGAAGTTAAAAATTCCAATAAGGGCATTGCTAATGATTCCCATAAGAACAGGAAAACAATTATATTTCTTGGTATTACATGCAACTGAAAACCTGCAATCCTTAAAAAAAAGAGTACACAAATAGAAGTTCTAAGTTCTTAGAGTAAATACATTTATTGGATATTTTTTATATTGCCAGAGTGGAGTTCGGATGAGAAGGAGAATACTAATTTTTCTTTGACACTTCTGCCTTCTTTGAATTGGTACAAGAATGCATTATTTTTGTAATTCAAGTGACTTGTTTTGTACATGAAATGGATTAACATTCACTCGCATGGAAAGATGACATTTTATGTGACAAAGTTTCAAACCTCCTCTAATATTATGACAAGTTAGAAAATATAAGTTTCCTATAGTTCAAAATATTAAGATGTGGCAAAAACAAAACAAAACAAAAAACAAAAACAAACAAACAAACAAACAAAAACCCTCATTATAAAATGGTACATGGAAGCAAACATACCTTCTGGTCGCCAGACACTATGATGGCTCCATTGCAGGAGGGATCGTCTGAGCCATTTCTGTTTCTAAAGTCATCTATTTCCAAAACTATCCTGATGCTTCAGTGAATGCACAAGGTCTTCAATATTTGATCCTAATATAGTCAATGAAAGGAAGGCAACAAGAAAAACAAAAAGCATTACATCAAAGTCAAAGCTTTAAATAATAATGATTTTCAGTCATGTTAAGAAAACCCCAGAATAGCTCAGTAAAGAGCCTTGTTCTTCAGGAGTATGATATTATTCATTCTGAGGCTAGGACATTTAGTTCCATTTACCATCTTTAATGTAATGGACTCCTTTATTCCTTTCAGAAATATATTCATTTATCTCATAATTTTCACCAGATAAAAAGAGTTTATGAAAATAAGATTATAATTCTCACATAAAGAAATTTTGCTAGTAGTGACTTTTATAAACTTTATCAGAACCATGTAATATTTATAATTATGAATAATACATACAAAATATACCTCATGACCCAGGCTTGTTCTAGTAATCCTATCAACCTGAAATGGCTGTATCTCACTAACTTTGCAATGATATTTAAAGTACTAGTAACCCATTCAAAATATCTTTATGAAATTAAGTTAACTTGACATTTGCCATTGTGCCAATTATTTTCCTTGACTTGAAAATTAACCCAGCAGAGATGGAAAGGAAGTCACATTGGTCAGAGGGAGAAGTCAAGCTATGATGTAGCCTCTACAGTCTGAATCAACTACCCCCCACCAAGGGAGCTCTGAATTCAAAATGATCCATCAGGCAGAGAATCCACAGACCCTTTGAAAGAGGCGGCTTGCAGCTGCAGGCTCCATTGAGAAGCTGAACACATCCTCATTGAGGAACCTGAAGGGCCAGATCACAGGAGAAGGATATTACCTTACCTGGAGCTAAGATGAGTTTAGAAAGCCAAGCAAAATATAGGGGTAGAGGAAGCAGTGGGAAGAACCCTGTGGGTACTCTCAGTCCCCAAGGAAGCCATTTTTGACTTTGTCTCACAGGTTGGGGACGGCTGCCAGTGGAAATGGGGAAAGACCATAGGGAGAAAGAAACTTCCAGCTGAACTTTGTAACAATTTCAACCAAATGCAAAGTTTCCTGGACAGAATCTTGGGGAGGGGATGATCAGGGAGTGCAGCTACGAGCAGAGAAGCCATGGCAGGCAGAGAGGCACAAAACCTGAAAGCTCTGCTTGCTGTCTCAAAGGGACTCTTGTAGCATGGAGAGAGCTCTCAGTTCTGCTCACCAACTGCCTGGAAACAGACTCAGTGCTGTTGTGGGGGTATGATGGGAGTGAGACCACCTTTCTGGCTATATGGGAACTAAGTGAGGCCTGTCACTGCCAGCTTTCCCCCACTTCCCTGGCAACTGGTATGACGCAGCAGAAGCAGCCATAATCTCCCTGGGAACATAACTCCAAAGGCCATGCCCCACAGCAGCTACAGTAAGCCCTGCCCAAGCACAGTCTAAGCTCAGACATACCTAACCCTTTCTTTACCCACCCGGGTAGCCAAAGACAAAAGATATCATCTCTTGGAAGCTCTATGGCCCCACCCACCACCTGAGAAAACTGAATACTTATCCAGGCCACCCTAGGGCAAGCTTGTATCCTCCCTACACTACCATAGCTGACGCTCTCTTGAAAGTGCAACCTCCAGGATGGAGGTTGACCAACACTGTTCCAGCACACTAAACAAAACTACAACCAAGGACCCTCACAGAGTCCACTTCATTCCCCTGCTACCACCACCAGAACAGGTGCTTGTACCCATAGCTGTGAGACCTGAAGACAGATCAAAAAATAATAGATGTTGGCATGGATGTGGTGAAAAGGGAACACTTTTACACTGTTGGTGGGAATGTAAACTAGTAAAACCACTACGGAAAACAGTGTGGAGATTTCTTAAAGAACTAAAAGTAAGTCTACCATTTGATCTAGCAATCCCACTGCTGGGTATCTATGCAGAGGAAAAGAAGTCATTATATTAAAAAGATACTTGCACACACATGTTTACAGCAGCACAATTACAACTGCAAAAATACAGAACCAGCCCAAGTGCCCATCAATCAATGAGTGGGTTTAAAAAATGTGGGTTTAAAACACACACACCATCGAATACTACTAACCCATAAAAGAAATGAAATAATGGCATTTGCAGCAACCTAGATGGAGTTGGAGACCATTATTCTAAGTGATGTAGCTCAGGAATGGAAAACCAAACATTATATGTTATCGCTCCTAAGTGGGAGCTAAGCTAGGAAGATGCAAAGGAATAAGAATGATCCAATGGACTTGGCAGACTCAGGGGTAAGGGTAGGACAGGGTTGAGGGATAGAAGACTACACATTGAGTATAGTGTACACTGCTCAGGTGATGAGTCACCAAAATTTTAGAAATCACCATTAAAGAACTTAATCACTTAAACTTAGAAATCACCATTAAAGAACCTTCTTCCTATCAGCCTCATATTTCATAGAAATGAAATGCATGTAACCAAACACCGCCTGTTTCCCTCAAACCTACTGAAATAAAGATAATACAAAATAAAAAATATTTGGAAATAAAATTAACCCATCAGTTTCCTTCATTTGAATATGGAGCAAGATGGAGAGATACGATTTTTGTTTTGAATTGTCTCTCAGGTATGTGCTTCCTAAAGATCTTTGATAATAAAAAAATTGACACTAAATTTTAGCCCTGTTTCTCACCTGTATTATTAATGATTAATAGGATTGTAAGAGGAATCTTCGGGATTTGTTCCAGAGAAAGGAAATACATACTGGGTGAAAACTACCAACAATGAGTTTCACGAGTTACTTTATATATTATCTTCTCCAGAATGATGGAGATAAAAGCAACTCCAAGTACTAGTAACCTAAGTTAAACAAAATTATAACATGAGTCTGAAGCAATTTTCCTCTGATTATTTAAGTCACAAAGATGTTATATAAGTGCTAGCTATGAAAATTCCACATGCGTTTGTGGTGTTTAGTTAGATCAAATGAAATATACAGTGACAGTAAACTGAAAATTGGATCAAAAATGGTACATAATTTGTATCACACTGGAAGATATTCAAGGGTACCAGCATCAAGAGAAAAGGTGGAATCCAGGGGCAATCCTCTGTAGGTATGCTGGTTTACCAGGACAACATGGGAAATAATTTTATGAGATAATGGAGGCCTCAGATTGCCTGCTTGAGTACTTTTGATGAGATAGAGGCCCTATTTTACACTGCAACCTCAAGCTTGCTATGTGCACAATTGCAAGTAAAATTTTAACTTTCTTCAATTGTTAGTTTACAAATATTTTAATTTTAATGAAACTAAATGCAATATTTAAAATACTATTTTTATATCCTAGAACTCATTCAACCAACTCAAATTGCAGATGAAATGCTTCCAAGCAATCTTTGTTTCTCTAATAAGCATGAGTCCACTCTGCAATGACTACTTTCCCATCAGACTTCAGACTCTACCTCCTTCTTCCTATCAACCTCATATTTCATAGAAAAAAAAATGGCGTCTTTAGGACAGAAACTCCTTCATCTATCACTGCCAAAAGAAAAAAAAAAAAACATATCCACAGATTCAGTCATCCTCTCATTCTTTTATTCTGTTGAAGTAGATAACAGATCTTTGCTCCTAACAAAAAGATCAGTCCTTGTCAATATTGAGCCTAATCCAAACTCTCCCTACTCTTGTGTATCTCTTGTTCATTATAAAATCAACTTTCCTTCCAACTTCACATTGCCTTTTAGCTTCTGCTCTTTCTACTGCCCTCCATATAGTCGTAAAAGAGTGTTCTACTGTCAGACCTCTTGATAAAATCTTTAATAACTTCCCTTTTGCCAAAGGATGCTTTTGTTTCTCAACCGTTATTAGTCCTCCATATTTTCTAATCTTGTCCCAAATGTAACCATTTCAATGAAACCAACACCAACAAACCTATTTAGAATTGTAATGTACCTCTAACTCCATCATCCCTCTCTATCCCCTTTTCTACTCTATTTTTTATAACCTGTCATGTAAGTTATTTAGTTCTATATTCAGTATTTTTCCTCTTTTCGCCCAACCAGATGTAAACATCATGAAAGCTGGGATCTGTTCCTTTTGTGTTCACTAATATAACCAAAGCTCCTAGAACAATGCCTAGTGTATAACAGGCTTCAATAAAGATTTGTGATATAAATGAAAAAGTTTAAAAGCCTTACCAATTTTGTTTACAACAGTAGCAAAACTGTGCCCCAAAGAGTTAAAGAAACCAATGACTAGCAGAAATTATTGAGATTGCAGGGTGTCAGACTGAAAGAAGAAGAAAAAAAGAAACAGTTTGTTGAAACACTGAAACTCCCCAGCTTGTAAGATAATAAAACTGGCTGAAATTAGCTGGAACCAATATGGCCAACTACAGTGTGTCCGGAATCATCTTGCTGACTTCACAGCCTGAATTTTCACTATGTATTTCATACCAACTGTGCTTGAATTTGCACAAGGGACACATGAGGAGGCATGAAGAGATATCTGTGCATGCTTGAGGACTTTCCAGACCTCTCCTTTTCTTCTACCATGCTAATCCCAGAATCCACCCCCTAAATCTTTTCTAATAAAATTGCTGCCTTAAAGCCAGCACAGGGAGACAGATTTGAGGTAGTCTCCTGTCTCCTTGTGAGTCAACTTGCGATAAAAACCTCTTATTTTTCTCAAAAATCCAGTGTCATATCATAGTATTGGCTTCTAGCACATTAGGCAGTGAGGTCCTTTACCTCAGTAGCAGCAGGATAGATAAAGATACTAAAAAACTGTTAAATGAATTAATAAATTAATATATTTATTTTCTTAATATTTGAACTTTTTTTATATATTGATTAAATAGACATAAAGTAATATGATACTCACAAACACAAAAGAGCTCTCCTTTCACACCTTAACTTTAAGAAGTGAAGTATTGCCACTGCATAGATTTGTTGTCTCCAGAGAGCTGCATCACTGACAGCCTTTCTCATTTCAGGAAGAGAACAGAAAACCTGTTCCATTTCAGACTCATTTCCAGTATTTCTTGTCACATATGTTTTCTCTTGTTTTCCAATGTCAAAATCTACAATCATGCAATAAAACATTTTAATAGGCTATGTTATCTGCACTTTCTCTTTAGAAACTTTGAAAATGATGTTAAACTACTTGAGACAGCACTACTAACAAGTCAAGTTACTGACATCCATAATCAAAATTTACATTAAAAATACATATGTACTTGTGTGTGTATATATACATATATAAAACTATCATGATTGTGCTACATGTATTTTATATATATATATATATATATATATATATATATATAACAAACATAATAGGCTGTAAGACACATGAAACATTGCTTCTGAATAACTGGAAAATTAATAAGGTATTTAATAAACAGTTGCTTTCTATGCCATAAATGGTTTCTTTTAATGTCAGCAAGTTCTATTTGCAGAGCTTATTTGTGAATATTTGATGCTTTCTAAAATGTTCCCATGTGACATTCTGCCATTCTATCAATTAGATTTGGAATATAACTACAGAATTATAGGGCAAATTGTTTTGCTAAAAGTAATCAATGGCTTATTGAGGACATAAAGATAATTTTTTCTATACAAATATTGGTTTTAAAATGTTTTATTGAGAAGTACATTTTTTTAAATTAGCATGCTTAAAACCAAGAGATAACCAACAAAGGAAATGTTAATAAGGAAGACATTTTAGGCCATTTATTGCAAAACAATTTCTACCAAAAGTTAAGTTGCCCATCTTATATTTCTAAAAGCTTCTATAAAACATCACTCTCATATTAATATGCTCATTTAAAAATAACTGCACCTAGAAACATACCTTAAATGATATCCAATACCCCACTTTTGCTACAGAAACAAAGATGATCCTGTACATTCAACTTCCCATTAGACAGAAATACTTTTTGAATAGAAAGAAAGATTCAAAAAATTATGTGAAGAGTAATTCCTTACATGGTATATTCTCTACTTTGGATACCAAAACACTGAATGACATTTGCAATATAAATGCAACTGTAATGTCATTAAGCCCCTGGGTGCGGTATCATTTCTAATCCCCAGGCCTATTGTGAAACAGGCTTCAGAAATTCACTGCATTCCCCATAGCTAATCCAGTGCCACAAAAACTTTCCAGCAATGGCCCAATTCTTTACCTCTTCCTTTGTTCACATACTTTGCTTTGTAACTTTGCAGGGTTACGCCCCATATGACTTGCTGTAGCCAATGGCATGTGGAGGCTTGAAATGGGCTTCTGTATTTGGATTTGGTCTCCTGAGGCTCAGTCACTGCCACAAGAATACTACTGGGCTAGCCTGCTTGAGAATGAAATACACCTTGAATTTTGAGTCACCTTAGTCAATGGCTACTTGACCCCCTAACAAATAAGTGGATCCAGTCAAGACCTGAAAATCTCCACTGTGAACCCATGCTAAACTGCCAACTCTCCTACTCATGCACTAAACAAATACTTATTGTTTTAAGGCACTGACTCTGAGGAAGCTTCATTACACAGCATCACTGAAACAAGAAATATCTGATAGAAGAAGTAAAACTTATCTTACCTCAGATTCATGAAGGAATTGACGATAGTGTTACATTTTACACCGTTTTATACACAGCAAAATATTCTGTTTTCACTGAGTCCCTTTCTGGCTTTATTTTTTTCAGACTGTCCATTCACATACTCTCCTGGCTCACTGAAAGGCAAGTCTTCCCATTTACCTTTATTTCCTATGTTGTTCTATGTCTAATTTTCCAATCTTGCATCTTCACACTCAACACCTCACTCAGTAAACAAAGATCTTCCTAAATTGACAATAAAGGATTGTAAATTCAAAAATAATTTTCCCAGCTAAAGAGTTTTCTATGTATGAAGGGTAATACTGGTGTTTAAGAATGTTTTAAATATACTTGTTACTAATGTAAACAGTCAAGAAAGTTAAAGACAAGAAGAAGATACAAAAAGCATGGGTCTAAGAAGTAACTGGGAGATCAGAATTCCACTGAGGCAAAGTGCATTTTTAGAATACAGTCATTCAAATGAACTGCAAACAAGATTTTCTTCTTTTGAAAACAGGCTATGAAAAATAACTCTCACATTAAATCCTTAAATAACTAGTTGGAATAAAGAAGCCAAGAATCACCAGCCAAGATGTCAGCCTCATCCATGAATTGGGTACTGAAGAGGATAACTCGGTCTACTTTATGCTCCTTCAGGAGGCTCCACACTCAGTGCCTTGAAAAGAGATCCAATAAAGCAGTTGGTTCATCCAGTAGCAAAACCTACAGTGGAGGAAACATATGAAAGCATCTTCCTCTTCACAGTGGGGATCTTCAGAAAGCACCATGAAAACCAGTAAGATTTCTAGACTCCAATACAGTCCTCCACCAGATCCCTAATAGGCTTGCATGGTACTTTATTATAAATTTTCCCTCACATTTTGTAATTGCAGTAGAAGTTGGACTTTAATAATAGTAGTATAACCTTGAATCTAAATTAATTGTAAAAATATATTGTTTCTCTCACCTGAGGATCTCCTAAGATGGCAATCCCTGTTAGTTTTCTCTTCTGCTCACCACCACTTATTTTTTTAGTGATAGTGTCTTGAATGCTTTGCATGTCTAATTCCATTATAATTTTTTTTACCTATCCAAAAAAATACCAAATATTTAATTCTAAGCAGTTTTTACTCTCTAAACATAAAAAGAAATTATTCTAGAACTTCATTAAGTTTTATGTATCAAAGAGTAAAGTAATAGCTGAACAAAAATATAGTCAAAAGTAAATTATTTCCAAAGCTATCGATTTTAACATGCTTCTCTACTTCTTGTTCCACTTCCTTTGGCTGAATTCCTTTTATTTTCGCAAATACCCTGAGGTTTTCTCTCACAGTGAGGAAGTCCAATTGAAAATTAAACTGTGGACAAAATCCAATGTTCTTTCTAATTTCTTCCATGTCAGTTATTTCAGAGAGTTGAGTATTATAAATAGTGGCTGATCCAATAAATCTAAATTTAAAAGGCTTTAATGCCAGAATGTTAATTCTATGCAGAGTGATAATATATGTTAGTGTTTAGATTTTGTTCAAAAAACTTGTTTTGATTAAAGAAGTTTCACATTTCCAATTGCATAATTAATATATTGAGTAATTCAGATTGCTCTTAACATAAATATCTGTATCCACAGCAATGCAAAGTATACATGGAATGTCAAATAATGATGGAATAGAGATACAGATGTTTTCATAAATTTATGTATATATGAAATAAGTCCAATTTAGAGAAACTTTTTTACATAATCAGATCAATTTACAACTTGCTTTTTCAGCCAACTTACTTTGTAAAATTATTTTCTTACCTTCTGTAGAAACAGACAATCCACTAAGAATGTTTAGCAGTGTTGATTTACCAGCTCCTTTATGCCCAAGTATTTCAGTGATCTGTCCTTTGTATATGTCAAAAAATATGCCTGTTTCAGAATAAAATGTGGAAATTAGATTTTGGATTATATGTAGATGGAATGGACCTTAAAACTGGAAAAGTAAAATGCATCTCAGTATTTCATTTCATTGGTATTTTAATAAATTCCCTGTAACATTATACATTTAATTGTGTAAGTTATGTATTTATGAAGACAAAGCTTCAATTTGTCTGGAGAAATTGGATTAAGACTTGCAATGTAAATTTCTACCTTCTTGCTTCTCTCAAATCCTTTGAATGTCAAAGAATCTATACATTTAGTAGGAAATAATAAAGCAAAGACCTAATAGGAATAAAAACAAAACATGGTTTATTTGCTTCCCAGGCAAAGGAAAGAAGTGTAGCTTAAGAACCTGTCTCCCTGAGGCTTGCAGAGCTAGAGACAGAGGGCCAGGTATCCAGACAAAAGGGGAGAGTTTATTTCACACTCAGAGGGAGGTAGAATTAGTAAGGAGAACACTGGTAAAGTATCTCCTGGTACTGGTCATCATCCTGTTTTATATCACAAAAGTGTGGGCATGATATTTAGAGATATCTGTTGGGATCTAAGACGTACCACAGGCATTTTCACATGTATGTGCCTAAGACTTGACAATTTTTTCTTTAATGTTTGAAAAATTAACTCCATTAGAAAACAAGAATTCAGTTAGCATGCCAGAAATTTTAAAAGATTTTCTGAAGACAGAAAACAAGGAATTCGATTGTCAGAGAATCAAAAATCAGGCAAACCATAGCTCAAAATAGATGATGAAGAATTCTATGACAATAAAACCAGTTTCCTTGATACTTCCAAGCTTAGTTTGAGAAAGTCAGGTCAAAGATTATAAACTTATATAAAGAGTATATTCCTATTTTTGAAAAATTATTTTATATATACATCTAAATATAGAAAAATATATATTATTGGTGATTATCCCTCAGAGTATATACATATTTTTATTATTTTTTTCTCCATATTTATTCTCTAATGTTGCACAATAATTATTTGTATTTTCAGATCACAAAAATGTTTCTTAGTTTAAAACAAAGCTGTGTTTTAGTCTAAAACATCATCAAAACAATGAAGTTTTTATTTTTACCTTGCAATGCTTCTACTTTTCCAGGCTTTCTATTGTATTCTTTTTTAACATTTCTGATTCTGAAAGAAGATAAAGTAATTTTGAGGTAAATGCATTTTCTAATATTAGTAACACAGATTACAGTTCATAACTAAGCCTGAACTTCACAGTAAAGGTGTCACTCTCAATGGGATCTAAGGATCCCCTCACCACTCCCAAAAGATATTTACACAGACCTGCTAATACTGTTATCAAGCTTCGTATTTCATATATTCCAGCTGTTTCTCTAAGTTATTAAAGGAATAAGAGAAAGCTAAAATTGATTCCAAAAAAAAAAAAAAAAAAACAAGGAAAGAAGGAAGGGACAGAAAAAAAAAAAAAGGGAGAGAGGCTTTCCCTCAATCCTGAATCACTCTCAGTCATTATCTTCCACAGGCAAATTTGTCAAAATAATAATCTTTACTCCCTATTTCCATTTCTTTATCCCACATTTATTTCCCAACCTAAGGCAATATAGTGTCTCACCACACCACTCTACAAAAACTATTCACAATGAAATTCACCAATGACAATTCTAGTTACCAAATCTAATCCAAACACTTTTTGGTCCTTATTTGGTATACTTCATCACTGTTTTAAACTATTGCTCATTCTTTTCTTTTCATAAGCCTCTACTTCCCTGGCTTCTACCCTTTGACTTTCACATCTTCCTCTTAACATTCTGTTTTGGCATACTTATGTACTCCTTCAATTGGATTCTATAATTGACCAACTATTTTTTTATTCTCGAATCTTTTCCATACAATCTTACCCACTCTCATGGCTTCAACTCCTACCTAAATTCTAATGATTCCCAAATTTGTGTCTTTAGATATTTCTTCAAAGTTTCAGATACATATTCTGCTTTTCACTACATATCTGAACTTGGATGTCAAATTGTATGCATTATATTTTCCTCTAAACTGGCTCACTTCCATTCTCTATCTTAGCTTTTCTACTGTCTACCCAGGAACTCAAGCTAAGAGCCTGAGAGACATCCTTAACTCTCTCTCTCCCTTTCTTACCCCATCCTGTGACCTAAAAAATTATTACAATTTAACTTCAAGAATTTATGAATTTAACTTTTTAAATCAATTTGAATTTATCTTTTTACCACTTTTCTATTACTTTCTTGTCCAGACTCTTGTCATCTTTCACTTCAACCAGGGATATGACCTCTATGCTGGTTTGTTAATTATCCCTTTTCTATCAGCAAGTCTCTTTTCTTCTGCAATGCAGAGGACATACCAGGGACTAGATTTCCCAGAACCCTCTCTTCAGTATCAGATTTTGCTAATGAGAAGAACTTGGCAAGATTTGGAGAGCAGAAATCAAGCAAGGTCATTATTCCTGGGTCACGTGAGCCAAGCATATCCACAGGCTCAAAGTATGCAGCAGCTTCTGCTTCTCAGACTTCTTGACAAGCACAGCTTTGCTACTGCAGGTTAAGATAACTGGTGGAAGAGTTCCCAGAAAATCTCTGATATTTGCAGCAGTATACTGACAAACTTCTTGAAAAACACCCATTTCTGTGCATCAGGCTAAGGTCCTCACTGGCTATTTCCCTGACTTTCTAGCTAATAACTTAACCTTCACTCCTCTAACTCTTGTACATCTGTGAATACCTAATTCCTGTATTAAACCCCTTTACTCCCACAATGTTTCCAATAACTCATTTTTTCCTGACCAGATCTAGACTGATACAACATTCTAAGTATTTCCATTTCTCCAGTTGTGTTGCCCTCAAATCCTAGAAGATCTTTCTTTAGGGAGTATAGGAACTGAAATTTTGAAGTCAAAAGCTCTCTTCATAAAACTAACAGGAAAGCCATCAAAAGAGTGAATAGAAAATATTTGTAAATGATACGTCCGATAAGAGGTTAATATACAAAATAGCAAACTCAATAGCAAGAAAAAATAACCCAATTTGAAAATGAGCAAAGGACCTGAATAAACATTTCTGAAAAGAAAACAAACAAAGAGCCAACAAGAATATGAAAAAGTACATAACATCACTAATCATCAGGGAAATGCAAATTAAAACCACAATGTGATAGCATCTCACATGTGTTAGAAGGGATGCTATCAAAAAGATGAAAGGCAAAAAGCGTTGGCAAGGATGTGGAGAAAAGGGAAGCCTTGCCACTGTTGGTGAAAATGTAAATTAGTACAACCATTATAAAAAACATGATGAAGGTTCCCCAAAGAGTTAAAAATAGAACTACCATATGATTGAGCAATTACACTTCTGGTATACACCCTAAGGAAATGAAACCATTACATTGAAGAGCCATCTGCACTCCCATGTTCATTGCAGCATTATTCACAATAGTCAAGATATGAAAATAACAAACTCAGTGTCCATCAATGGAGAATGGATAAACAAATTGTGGGGTATATATACACAATAGAATACTATTTAGCTTGTAAAAGAAAGAAAATTCTGTCATTTGTGACAACATTCATGAATCTGGAGATCATTAGCTTAGGTAAAATAAGCCAGATACAGAAATATAAATACCACATGATCTCACTTATATAGAGAATCTAAAAAGTGGAACAAACTGAAGTAAAGAATAGAATCTTGGCTACCAGGGCCTGGCAGGGGGAAGGGAGAGGGCAGGAGTTGGAAAGGTTGGGAAGATGTTTGTTAGTGAAAGGATACAAAATTTTAGTTAGATAGGAGGAATAAATTCAAGAGACCCGTTGTACAACATGGTGACTACAGTTAATAACAATGTATTTTGAAAATTGCTAAGAGAGTAGATTTTAAGTGTTCTTACGACAAAAAATAAGTATATGAGGTAACAAATATGTTAATTAGCTAGATTTAGCTAAGTTCACAATGTATACTATTTCAAAACATTATGTGCACATGATAAATATGTGAAGATTTTGGCAATTAAATAAATTATTTTAAAAATTTTTTTGTGGTCAATAAAGTATAAAAACAGTAAATTACTAATTAAATTTTATAACAATGTATTAAGAAAAATAACAATGTATTAAGAAAAAAAGTATGTTTACTACAGAAAACCAAAACTTTAGTAAAGAGGAAATATGTTATATGGCACAGAACTGTAAAACAGAAAAACAGTAACTTTGGAGAATTTACAGCTTATTTTTTCCTCTTCCTAATAAAAAAAATTCTAATTTTCTCTGCTAGGTTTCTGGGCTTTAGGGGCTAAAGAAAATTAATTTGAGGTAAAGAGTTAATATCCGGGATCCAAGATGGCCGAATAGGAACAGCTCTTGATTGCAGTTCGCAGCGAGAACAACGCAGAGGGTAAGTGAACACTACATTTCCAAATGACTTATTAATGCCCACAGACCAGGATAGTCCCGGGCTGAAAAACACCACAAGTTTCCAGCACAGCTGTTTCAGCTGTTGTAGCAGATCTCCACACAAAAACTCACACAAATCTGGGTGGCCGTTTCAACTGGCACCTGGAATCGCTGGGAGACAGAGCCACCCATTCAACTGACAAAAAAGGGGCTGAAACAGGGAGCCAGATGACCTGGCTAGGTGGGTCCCACCCCAACAAAGACCAACAATCTGAAAAGCTCTGGATTGAGAGTTTTGCAGCAAGCGCAGCTGGACCCGGGATGGTCCAGCTTTGTTAGGGGAAGGGCATCCGTCATTAACGAGGCAGTCTGCCACTACTGAGGCAATCCACCATTACAGAGGCAGTCCACAGTTACCGAGGCAGTCTGCCATTACAGAGATAGTCCGCCATTAATGAGACAGACCACCACTACCGAAGCTGTTCTAACTATACCTCTATAAACAAAACCACAAGGAAGTTCATACAGCAGCTGGGCAGAGCCCACGACAGCTCAACAGCGCCTCTGCTGGCAGACTTTGACTAAGGCTACCTCCTTGCTGAGCAGGGCATCTCTGGAAAAAAAGGCAGCAGCACATCAGGAACTTACAAATAAAGCCCCACCTTCCCAGGACAGAGCAACTGGGAAAAAAGGCAGTATGAGTTCTGCTGCAGCAGACTTAAACATACCTGCCAAGCAGCTCTGAACAGAACAACGAAGCTCACAGATCAGCACCTGAGCTCCTATAAGGGACAGACTGTCTCCTCGAGCAGCTCGTTGAACCCCATATATCCAAAGAGTCACCTCACAAAGGAGAGCTAAGGCTGACATCTGGCAGGTATCCTTCTGGGACAAAGATAACAGAAGAAGAAACTGGCAGCAACCTTTACTATTCTGCACCTGCCACAGATGATCCCCAGGCAAGCAGGGTCTGGAGTGGACCTCCAGCAATCCTACAGCAGAGGGACCTGGCTGTTAGAAGGAAAACTAAAAAACAGAAAGAAATAGCTTCATCATCAACAAAAAGGATTTCCATTCAGAGATCTCATCCGAAAGTCACCAACTACGAAGACACAGGTAGATAAATCCACAAAGATGGGAAGAAATCAGCACAAAAAGGATGAAAATACCAAAAACCAGAATGCCTCTCTTCCTCCAAGGGATCACAACTCATCACCAGCAAAGGAACAAAGCTGGGTGGAGAATGAGTCTGATGAATTGACAGAAACAGGCTTCAGAAGGTGGGTAATAACAAACTTCTCAGAGCTAAAAGAACATGTTCTAATCCAATGCAAAGAAACTAAGAACTTGAAAAAATATTTGACAAAATGCTAACAAGAATAAACAGCTTAGAGAAGAATATAAATGACTTAATGGAGCTAAAAATCACAACACGAGAACTTCGTGAAGCATACACAAGTTTCAACAGCCGAATTGACCAAGCAGAAGAAAGGATATAAGAGACTGAAGATCAACTCAATGAAATAAAAGGAGAAGGCAAGATTAGAGAAAAATGAGTGAAAAGAAATGAACAAAACCTCCAAGAAATATGGGATTATGTGAAAAGACCTAATCTATGTTTGATAGGTGTACCTGAATGTGATGGAGAGAATGAATCCAAGCTGGAAAACACTCTTCAGGATATTATCCAGAAAAACTTCCCCAACCTAGCAAGGCAGGTCACCATTCTAGTGCAGGAAATACGAAAACACCACAA